CACAAAGCTTTGCCATGCGCTGCCACAGTTAATTTAATGTTTTTTTTTAAAGAAAAAAAATAAATAAAAAAGATCATGCACTGCGATGCGTTCTAACAACGCACTGCAGCGCATGTGCATGGTGTGCACCACAATATGTGTGTGTTATGTTGGGGGGGGGAGGGAGGGGTTGTGCTTTTTTTTATTAGTTTTTTTACACATTTTTTATTTTTATTTTAATATTTTATTTTTTTTTAATTCATTTTTTTTATTTTAATTTTTTTTATTTTTTACTGTTGTGTGGGCTACGGAGAAATATATGGGGTCTAAACAGACCCCTGGCATTTGCCTTTTGAAATGGAAAAATAAATTGAGGACTCAGAGTCCTCAATTTCTTTTTCTGCAACCCCAGCACTCAATGAATGGGAAGCACTCAGTACAGAGGCTTCCCATTCATTCAGAAACAGATATTAGTAAAAAATATTTACTATCACCAATTTATGAATGGGGAGGAGCCTCTGTAGTGAGTGCTACTCCCCATTCATGAATGAACAGGAAGTGATGTAAATCACAGCCTGTTCATTCATAACTGGGGACACATATTATGTTTCCCCAGTTATTTACAAACAACGGAGGGATCAGACGATCACTCTGGTGTTTGCTCTGCACAGGAGGATCGGTAAATATCAATGATATTTTCGATCCCCTGTTCGGCAGCGCACAGAGTTGCTGTCATCCGAAAACTGACAGGATGACAGCAACTCATGGTCGCTATAGCGACCATGAGCTTATAGCAGAACTGTAAATGCCAGGTCCGTACGGCATACTGACTTGGCCAGCCGGGAACTTTTTGTTCTGCCGTATGCCATACGTCCTTGGCAGGGAAAGGGATATGTGACATTTTTTTCTAAAACAATACAGATATGATTTTAGGGGCATTTTCTTTATAATCATGAAGAACTGTAATTTAATCCATGATTATTCAGCAATGGAGAATGGCAACCAGCTATAGAGGAGCACACATCTCAGTAATCCATGATTATTCAGCAATGGAGAATGACAGGCAGCAATCATGGATTGCTATGATTTGTACTCCTCTATGGCTGGTTGCCATTCTCTATTGCTGTATAATCATCGATCCCATCAATCCATGATTATACAGCAATTATACAGGGCTGTGTGCGGTCTCACCAGGGCTGCGTTTGGGTCTCACCAGGGCTGCATGTGGGTGCTGGGCTCAAAGGGCGGTGCAGGTCACACCAGGGCTGCATGCAGTTCTCGCCAGGTCTGCATGTGGGTGCCAGTCTCTCCGTGCGGTGCAGGTGGAGGCCGGGCTCCAAGGCTGTCCGGTGGTGTGAGGCTGTACCTCTCTGCGGAGAGGAATAGATGTGGTGCCGAACAGGCTTCTGTCAAAGGCATCTGCCTGAGTTCCCCAGCAAGCACAGGAACTCGGGCGGCCGGACTTCTGGTAATGGGAAATGTTCATGAGTATAAGTACTCGTGAAAATCCCCTGTATCGGGACATCCCTATAAAAAACCCTAACCCAAGTAAAAGCAATTTAAACTGAAAGGAGCATTTGTTTAAATATTTGTTTTATCTTATTTTATGTGAATGGGAATATGTAAGAAATATAAATAGGTGTTATCCCAATTTGGCTGTGAAAGTGGAAATAGAATGTAATCCAAAATATAACTTTTTCAGTGTCTGTTATTTAAATGTGCAGGAAATTGTGTTCCTGCATGTTGTTCTTAATTATGGCTGATGGCACAATTTGATGTTTTATGTTCAATCATTCAACTTAGTAAGTTCATCTATATTCATCTATAGCCTGCCATCATTTGTTTTTTGGAGCATAGTGAAATTAATTACCCCAAGGACTACCTTAAATACTTTCCAAGGCAGTGAAGGGGATATATTTAGTAGAAGGAACTTAATACAAAATATTGCTCTACATTTCCTTTATTTTTATTGCGTACTTCAGAAATATGTAAGGTGTCTTTGATCCTTCAGTTTTTTTCCTTCACATAAAGAAAACTGTTAAATCTCATTTGTAAAACTAAATGATCTGACCAAGCACTATAATTTTGGCCAAATGTCCATAAAGGAAAAAAGATGTAAAATCTTTCAAGACTAGTTTAAATCTTATGTGATACCTAAGAGGAACTAAATTCTCTGATTATGCCCAGTGTTTGTCTCCTTAAAGCGGACTTTTACCCATATCTTTAAAATAATAACAAACACATCTTTAGAAATGTTTAGTAATGACAATCTACAAACAGATACTTCTAGATGATTGCTGGCTTTGTATTCTTTGCATACCTTATTTCTCTTTTCTTTCCAAGTCTTCTGGTGGTGGCCATGTTAACTAAGGGCAGATTACTAGCTCCCCATTTACTTCCTGGAACTCTGGCACATGTGATTAGGATATGTCACCATGCACATCATCTCAGGGGAGGAAAATGCCTTTCGATGAGATCTTGTGAGATTACAGATACATTTTTTTTGCCAGAAAAGCTCTGCTGATGTAACCTTCCCAGGATGCAATGATTTTGGCACTTACATCATCATCATCTTAATGGCAAGGCAGTCCCAGTGTGCAATTAATTTGCAAACTTAAGTCATTTTGCCCTTACAAAGCAGGAAGTGAATGCTCTGCAAGTGTATTTCAAAATCACAGCATTTTACACCTGACATGTCTATGTTTTTATTAATCATACATAGAGGGATGCATTAGCATTTTTCAACACTGAATCAATACCAGTCATGCTAGGGAACATAGAAAACAATTGTTTCCTATGTGCCATGTTCACACCACAATGCAGATGCTGGTTTGGTGGGCTGCTTTAACCTCCCTCGCGGTATTCCCGAGCGTGGCTCGGGGTTACATTTCCTGACCAGGAGCGGTAACCCCGAGCCACACTCGAGAATACCCTGAATTCACACTCGCCTTGTCCCACGATCCCCGCAGCGTCTTCTTCACCCGATGCCGGCATCCGTCTCCAGTGTACGCTAGCGTCAGCGTCGTAGGGAGGCGGATCCGACGGGAAATTCAAACGTAAAAGCACCCAATACATACAGAATACATTGAAATACATTGGAAACAGTGCTATTACGTTACTGTAACAAATGATATCACCTCAGCTTTGTCCCTAGAGATATTACCAGTGTTCTGCCTGCACTTCTACTATTCTATTTGCCTGGAAAACTGGAGAGCGTCCATGACATCAAACAAGCTTCAGCTGAGGTCAAAAGCGGTTTTTGAGCAGCTTGAAAATAGCGATAGTGATGTGGAATCACTTACTGAATTGAACGACATCGATGCGTGGGGAAGTTCGTCGCCAGACACTGAAAGTGACGAAAGCGTGGATTCTGCACACGAGCTAAGTGATGTGCGAACTTGGTGCCCTATTTATTGTGGTACGGATCACGCAGCGCCCCCAAGATTCCCATTTACTGGAGCATCTGGTAGGAAGGTAGATGTGGAACATGACAACCCCTTGGCCTACCTAAAATTATTTCTTACCGATGAGGTTATTGATGAAATTGTTACCGAGACCAACCGGTACAATAAACAACAATCAGCAGCTCTGAATCGGAAGTTTTCCCAAAACAGAAAGTGGGGACCAGTGACCAGAGATGACATCTGGAAGTTTCTGGGCCTAATAATTATTTAGGAAGTGGTGGGGAAACCTCTGCAGAAATGGTATTGGACAACCAATAAAATACTTGCCACTCCATTCTTTGGCACGGTCATGTCGGAGTATAGGTTTACCCTCATCATGAAGTTTTTACACTTCGCAGACAAAGCCAACCATCCCGCCCCAAAACTGAAAAAAATGTGGAAGGTATCCCAGATGATTGTGAGGAATTTCCAACAAACCTATGTGCCAGAAAGAGACATCACCATAGATGAAAGTCTAATGGCCTACATGGGAAGGCTCAGCTGGATTCAATATATAGCATCAAAGAGAGCACGATTTGGCGTCAAAACCTATATGCTATGCGAATCGTCATCTGGCTACATTTGGAACTCCAGTGATATACACTGGAAAAGGAACCAAATTTGATCTGAAATAATGCAGATTCTGAAGCATAAGCAATACTGAAGCATACGCTGGAGAAAGGCGGCAGGTCTCTGGCATAGTGCTCTGTGTACCTTGTCCATGTAAATTCTTTCTGGGTTGATATCTAGAAGTACTTATCAAAAAAACAGTCAGGATGGTACCTGCAACAATGTTGTGTGTACCGTACTGCTTACCCATCCCTTCCCCCCCACAACTACACCCCCCTCCCCCACACGCCCGACTACGTGCTCCTCAAGGTCTTGGGGCGTGTTGCTTTTGCCTTTTTTCTGCATGCTCATAATTTTTCATGAGGACCAAATAGGGATGTTTCCAGATTTTTATCAATGTATATGCAATAATGTTACTGTCCTTAATGGTGGACATATAGGATTTACGGTCTTCTCTACTGTTTTACATTCCCCTGTGTGCTTGACACCATAACTTTTGGCTCAAATGTATTCTTTTGTGCGATTATATATCAATACAACATTAAATGATGTGTCCCTATATGAATATGCTTCACATGTTTACTCCTGTGGGCTTATATGTGCACCACCAATGTCAGCATAATCTTATCCTAATGTGGATTGTTAATGGGGAATGCCTTTAGCCTGCACTGTCTGCACTGTCAGATTGTGCTTATGACTTCAGTTCGCTACTTGTCCACTGTGCATGCCAGCGTCCTGTACCCTAGGCCACCAGCTGATGTTACTTCCAGCTAACGGCCATATCATTACAACTCGCTGTGTACATTAGTGGATTACAGGTGAGCCTCATTTGAGTGCAGAACGGTGTTCCAGCTGCAACTGGTGGGAGTGGTCTGTTTTTAATATGCACTGGTATGTCTATTTAAAGGTGATGGTTTGCTTTACTGTGTCATTCTGAGCCTGATGAAGGGGTACTGCTGAGACCCCGAAAGCGCTTGTATTGGATGGCGATTTGTCAATAAAGGACTTTTTGCTTCAAAACTTTTGGTGTGTTGGTGACAATCCTTTCTAGACCCAAAGCTCAGTATATCGCGAGCTACAGATCGAGGTATACTGAGACGACCACAGCCGGGACGGATCCCGACATTACTGTCGAGATCCACCCAGCTGCGTGAGTGATAGCTGACTCTACCTATCTAGAGTCAGCGCTGGTCGATCGGAGCGCGGAGGGGGGGGAATCCCAGAAAGGAGCCGTGATTGACAGTCATGGCTCTCTGGAGGGAGATGATCGAGAAGTGAGCGAGCGATGGTATGTGTTTGCTCACTTCCCGATCTATTGAGACGACGTGTGACACTTTCATTGTTACACGTCGGCTCGAACTATGAGGATGAGTAATTTTCACTCCCCTCATAGTTCTCCTTTAAATTCTCCAATGTCATATTTTTTGGATTTTTCATTTGTATAGTGTTGAAAAGCTGAAACAAGGCTTGCATGTCTGTTTTCAAAAATACCAGTGTTATTTCCAGTAACTAATTTCAGCTTAGATTTCTGATGGAGTTTACCAAGTGAGTTTGAAAATAACTTGGGTATGGAACATTGCATGGGTTCTAGAAAAAGAAGGACTCAAGGCTTTTATGTAAATCTCTGGTTTTGTAATTGGAATTGTTGCTGAGTGGTTTTCACACCATTAGGCTTGCCTAATTTTCCATTGATGAAGTATTCTGTCCTACTAAGAAGATGCAAGCTGTAATGGGCTTCAGTATTTTAGGTATATGTAGTATTTTAAGAGTATAAAGGTCCCATTGAATTACTGGTTTGTAGGCAGCTGTGAACCCAAAGGAGACAGTGTTAATGACGTGAGTCCAGAGCATTTCACTGACACATTGGCTGCAGTGTGAGAAGAAGACATGGAGAAGAAGAAGGTCATGAATTTAGTTGGTCTTAGGCCAGGGTACAGGAGTGAAGGAATGTAATAACCCGTATGCTAAGCATACTTCACACCAAACCTATTACATTCACACTAACCCTATTACACCAAATTACTGTTGGACATTTGCATTGTTGGTTTATTATGTGGCTAAATATATTTTATTCACACTTCTTAGGAAGAGTTGTGTGCTAAGTTATTTTAGTTATTAAAACAACTCTCAGGAAATGAAAAATCAGGCCCCATGTACTACATATGTAAAAGTAAAATCATATTATACAAAGTCCTGTTGTCTTAATTGTTTTCCAAACATAATGTTGCAACCAGAAATACTGATGTTGGTTTCTACCGCTAGAGCATACTGAGAAACTTGATGAAGAAAATAAGAAACTCCATCTGCGTTGCCTGGAACAGAAGCATCAGATTGATGAATTTCAGAACAGACTCAAATTTTTCACAAAGGTAACTATTTGTTTGACACATTTAATGTATTACACATTAAAGTGGCTGCCATATCTTCAAAAAATGCACCTGTCCAAACTTGTTTGCACTGCATTGGTTAAAAGTTTGTAACAACACATTGCACTTAGATGTACAGTATATGTCATCTAAATTTAACTACTTGTTTAGAAAGTTTGCAAAAGATGCAGGCATAAGACTGCTTTGATTTCTTATTCTCAGCCTGTAAAGTTAAATAATAGAAAACATTTTCTTTCTGCATGCTGACAGCCCTGAAACATGTGAAAACAACACAAAGTAATTGGTGAAAATCCAGTATGAAAATAGGAAACAAAAAAAACTATGTTGCATTAAATTTTAATATTAATCTGGCTCATTCAATGCAGAAGGGAATACTTAGATTTTTTTTAAGAGTCTTGGAATATCTTTTTAGCTTTTGTAGCTCTAGATGTAAATTAGATTTACTTCTGCTCATCTGATTGCCCTTCTTTCTGTATCCACTTTAGGAAAGTGATGTTGATGTCAGTGAACTCAGTGAAGCTCTGATGCTCATAAAGGTAATGTCTCTCTCCTACCTATGTCTTGAATTGACCTGTCAAGTTTACACAAATGACATATGTAAAGTCGGTTATAAAAAGGAAAAATCTCAGTTCCACTAGTCTACACTTACATGTCTTGCATTTTTTAGCATTACATCAAAAGTAACTTAGCAGCAAGGCTCACCTCTAGTTCTTGAGCTTCCAGCTCACCTATCATATTATGGTACTTTTGAAATATGTAATATTATTTAGTAACATGGCCTACTTTTTCCCAATGTGCTGTAGACATATATGTCTGTATTTGTCTTTTTAAAGATCACCACTAAGCATCCAGTGTATTTAATCTATAACATAAAATAACCATATTTTAATATTAAGATGGCTACAGCTGTATATGTGGAAACACAAACATGTATACAGTATTTGTGTGCCTGCAACTGCTAGATACATGCACAAATGTATTATGTTCTTTGTGTGGCCATTCCTCCTCAGCACATCACAAATAACCATTTGAGCCAGGAAGTGTCCGCCTAAGCTTCTATGATGCAGTAGAATTCCTTGCTCTATTCCTGTGTGAGCTGGCCTATCAATAAGCATATTGGCGTAGAAGAGATGGGTGCCAGTAAACAATTTGTGAGATTGTTTCCTACTGTAAAATATGACTTCCTGATGGCAAAGAACACCGGTAAATTGGCACTTGTTATAGTTACTTATTTTAGCAGCACCATTTTAAATTGGAGTAGATTAATTATTTAATACGTATAGATGATGCTTATTATGTGTATTTGACTGTAATTAATTACAATATACCTTTTGGAAAGGCTGGTTGAAATTAATGGACCTGTGTCTTTATTCAACCTCAAATACTATGCAACCATGTGACTGGGAATGATGGCCCTCCCTTGGAATCACATTATAGAAAATAATGTACTAGCATGGGTCAACTTGTAATTTCGATATGCTTCACCTACTTTGGATTTCTTTCCACAATATTCAATTTAGACACTGTACTAGGTTAATATCCACTATATAGTGTCACATTTTGCCTGTTACACAAACCTCACACAATCCTGCTGGATTTCTGACAAGACACCAAGGTTACAACAACACAGGAGTGCAACCAGTGTTGATCTTCAGATTGGTCCCTGTGTGCCTGTGTAGCCCCATGGATCCCAGACCTTACACAGCAGCCCCTTGTATCCTAGGCCAAGACTTCACACAGGATCTCAGCTACTCTTCAAGTTGAGATTAAGCCCCAACCTCTCCTGCCACTACATTCTGCTACCTGGCATTCAACAGTTACATTTTTAGATCCTTTACCTAAGGCTTTGATATGTGATGAGAGCGGCTGGGGCATAGCCACCCCGTCATCGTGTTATGCCTCAGCCCCTCTCATCACATATCAAAGCCTAAGTAGATGGTAAAGGATCTAAAAAATTAACTGTTGAATGCCAGGTGGCAGTATATAGTGGCAGGAGTGGCAAATTTGAGACAAGTCAAAACCATGTGTACAGTTGGAGGCTATGATCCAAGTAGTCTCCCCCTATGATATGGGAATTGATTTGAAGACTAACACAAGTAAATGTACCTTCACTTCACTATTGTTTTTAACTTAGGTTTGGCGTTTTGTTCCTAATAAGGTCCCTGTGCTTCTTTTGTTAACTTCAGTAGTTTAAGCATTTGAATTGGACATGTCCTTAATATTTGGTACCTAAGTTCTATATTGATTTATTTATTTTTGTATAACAATAAAGTGGAGCATAGCCTGAAAGTAAAAAAATTGCACAAAAAATACTTTTGTCACTTATACGAAAAAAAATCCCTTTTTACTAGAAAACGTTGTTGTCCCTAACAATTCCTGCTGGACATGCAGTGCAGTGTACACTCCCAAAGTCTATGATATCACACTTACACATTTTAATTTTTTGTGGCCGTCTACAAACATAATGTGGTCACTTAAGATTATTTCCACTCAATTTGGCTTGATGTTCATTTGAGTTTGGCATGCCTGCCTTAGATACTTTTTAGGTCAGGTTCATTTTATTGTACTGATTAGGCAAAAAAGATGTGCATTCTAATAAAACTTTTTATTTGCAGTTTGATGATATTTTCTTTTGCATTGTTAACCGTCCAGCCAGTAAGCTCTGCTGCATTTAAAGCTGACAGGGAGCATGCTGACCAGAGGAGAGAGCAGATAGGTAGCATCCACATAATGTTGCTGCTCCTTCATTTCTTCAGATTCAAGGATATACATTTTTTTTTTTTTTCCCCGGGAAGGACAGGTGCTGCGTGTGATTGTACACAGCAGCCTGTTCTTCTCTCTTCAATATGTTTTATTAGCAAGGATATACATTTTGACACAATCTGACAAAATACAGTAAACGTAAGCTACTGTTTCCTATTTGTGCTGTCTCTTGATGCTTTCTTGTGAAGCTGTCAAGAAAGCCAGTTACACCAATCCAAGCTGGAATTTAAACTCATATTGCTGTGCTTGAATACTTTTTGGACTCTGGGTCTGGTGATATTCCAGTTCTGTTCACACGTTATTAAGCTCTTAGGTCACTGCCCATCCTCCAATTCCAAGAAGTACTGATGGAACAATTTTACTGCTTCTATAGGTGTTCTTATGCATTATTTAAGTGTTTTCTCAGTCTACATTGTGTTGTACTATGCTAACAGACTAATTTATATGAAATTACATTTTAATAATAGTTATAGAAAAAGTAAAATAGTTGATAGTGTGTAAGTGTAATAATTTTGTTTTGTCTATAGATGAGTTTCAACCATGTAGTGCATTGTAACTACGGTATTACAACATGATCACCTCATACAAGATACTATGAAGCCACTTTAGAATACCCCTATAATATTTCATTTAATGTTCTATATACCATTTTTAATGACCTCATTACATGCATGTTACACCCCTTTCATTACCAGGCCATTTTTCAGTTTTCAGTGCTATAAAAGTTTGAATTACTCCATCATGCAACACTGTAACAAAATTCATTTTATATAATTTTTTGAAACAAGAGCTTTATTTTGGTGATATTTAATAAGCACTTTTTTTACTATATAAAGTTAAAAAAAAGACCAAAATAATTGGGAAAAAAAAAGTTTCCTTTTCTGTTATAAAACATAGTGATGATCCAGATGATCCTCACCACCTCTCTCCACCCTTAACATACTACACTATGGGATCCCATATTATATTCTTTCTGAGCTTTAATGAATTTGGGGAGCAGACTTTATAATACTGAAAGTGACCTAGAATGATAAATAGTGGTGGAGAGCCGTGGGGAGGATTATCTGGTAACAAGTGAAGAGTAGGGAAGAGAGAGTTTCTTTCTAGAATACGGAGGGCATGTGAAACAGGTGATTGGACTCACTTATTCATCGTATTGAGCTGCCTTTGACCATTTATAACTTGATGGTCAATCCATTATTGTGAGTGCGGAGTATTGATATGTAGCAAAGGGGTGATTGGATTGGAAAAGGATTTCACAGAGAGCACATTATTTATCATTTAATACACTGGTGTGTACTTTAATTGCAAGCACATGGACAGATGAAAATATTTTAAGGATTTTGCACAGCATATTTTCTATAACACACTCATGGACTAGGACTGTGATCACAACGTTATATGGGAACTCACTGATAACCTTGTATGGTACATCTTGATAAGAAGAGCACTTATCTTATGTTATGTAATTAGATAAATTAATATAGACTTTGTTTTTTTGCACTTTTGAATTATATGTAACAGAAAACTATAGACCAGCATGTCAAAGTTAAAGGCTATTGGACAATTTCCAAGCAGCTTGATGTTATTATTAAGACAGTTAAGGTCCATGGGAGTGTAGCCAACCTCCCTGGACATGGCTGCAAGAGGAAAATAGACCCCAGATTGAACAGAAGCTAGTTTGGATGAGAGACAAAGAGCCAAGGAAAACTTCCAAAAGACACACAAACTAAACTCAAGGTACCTTTGTGTCTGATCTACTATTCATCGCTTTTTGAGTGACACTGGGCTCAAAAGAAGACTCCACTTTTTAAAGAAAAATCTAAAAAAGCCAGACTGGAATTTGTTAAAATGCATATTGATAAGCCACAATGCTTCTGGGAGAATGTGTTTTGGACAGATCAGACAAAACTGGAGCTTTTTGGAAAGTTAAATCAGTTGTATGTTAACAGATGAAAAAAATTTAACTTTCAGAGAAAATAACATCATGCCTACTGTGAAACATGAAGGGGTCTTTGTTGTGTTGTGGGGGCTGCTTTGCTGCATCTGTCACTTGGTCTGTCCATAGTGCAATTAAATCTCAAAACTATCAAGGAATTCTGGATCGAGTTAGGTCTTTGAACAGACTAATGACCCAAAATGCACATGTAAAAGCACCTAAGAATAGCCAAGAACAAAACATTGGGCTGTTCTGAAATATCCTTCTATGAGCCCTGATCTGAATCCTATCAAACATCTTATGAAAAGAACTGAAACATGCAGTCTAGAGAAAGCATCCTTCAAACCGCTGGAACTGTTTGCTCAAGAAAGTGGGCCAAACTGCCTGTTAGCAGGTGCAGAAGCCATATTGAGAGTTACAGAAATCATTTGTTTGCAGTGATTTGCAAACAAGAACAATATATTAGGTTATGGTCCTCAACATTTTTGTCCATGCTATTTACATTTGTTGTATCTATTTAAAATATTATGTTGACTCCAAAAAACAAAAACAAAAGCAAAATCAGATTTAATTTTTTTTTAAATATGGATGATTTCAATGATGGGTGCCAATTACTTTGGACGGTTTCAAGTTATTTAAGAGAACATTGCAGGTTTTTCTTTTTCTGGGCGGTGAGTACCAACAAATTTGTCCATGTCTATATTTCTTAATATTCTAGTTCAAGATTCTAACCTTAGATCTTGGCTGTCAGGAGAATTTAAACCAACTTCTTTCAGTTTGAATGCCTAAAGGGTATTTAACTTCTAACAATAAACTTCTCTTATTTTCTTCACTTTAGTTTGTTAAATATAGCATTGAAATTGTTCTGTTATATCTGTTTGATAAGTTCAAAAACTACCTGTTGATTTTGCCATAAATCTTGTAAGCTCGTAACTTTACACAAGGGCTCAGTGATACAGACTGATAGAAACGTTGACAGTCAAAAGTATGATAGTACAAGATAGGTAATCAATTCTGTTAAAAATTGGGTTAAAGGCACTTCCTATTTTGAATTTGCCAGATGATTGGAGTTGAATTTAAAGATGCTGTGCGTTAGCTGCACCTTGATAATCATGAGTATGTATTTTTCAATAAAAGCCCAGGGAGCCATGTGTGTCCTTGGAGCCGCATGCCTTATTCCACTTGGTTGCAAATCTAAAAAGCAAGTTTGAGGCAATATGAAACTTTTTTTTCTGATATGTAAGTTGTAACAGATGCTGCCTTTTGAGAGCACTTTATTTTATCAATATGAATGTGTTTGTGTCCCTAAAAACAATTCCACATCATATAAGGGGAAGACCGCACAAAAACTGCTGTCTGCGACTCAGATTCAGTATCTGTTCCATATCTTTGTGATGCTTTCAGTATGCAGGTTCTCTGTCTCCTGCTGAGATTTGCTCATCAGCCATGGAACTCCCTGTAATTGGCATGTGCAGTTTGTCAATATAATTAGTTGTGGCTTGAAAAAAGCCTTATGAAACATGTGGCTTAGACTTAAATCTGGCACTATCACAATTACAAACAGATTGGGCCAATAGCACAGGCCGGAATATACTCATAATAAAGTCATAATTAGTTGGCATTAGAAATGAGTTTGTTAATCATCGACATCTTTGCTGCTTTGTGAATTATTAAGTGCTAAATTTTCCAGAATCCAAAGCTGACCCTGTTAGCTTGTTAACCCTTGCATAATAAAAAAAATGGATTTGGGTATTTATTTTAGTATCCACATATAAATGTATATGAGAAAAAAATACCTTAAAAGTATTGTATTTTTATTGAATTAAATTATATTTTGTTCTGTAGAAACGGAAGCAACAGATGAACGGAGAGCTCAAATTTTTGGAGAAAGTGGAGGATGACGTTGGGAAGGACCTTGAGAAGTCTTTAAGAGAATTACAGGCAAACCATGTGGAAACTGTGCAGGAACTTGAGAAAACTAGAAACATGCTGATAATGCAGCATAAAATCAACAAAGATTACCAGGTAGCTAATCAAGTGTCTGTAGTTTATTTTCAAGACAGCATTATTTGAATACTCAAGGACACAAGATTTGTAAACCTAGCCACACTGCATTTTTTTCTACTTGATCCAAGGCTTCAGAAATGACTACAGCAAACTTTTTCTACATGGGTCTAACACCTATTGTGTTCACAGGTTGAAGTAGAGGCTGTTACACAGAAGATGGAGGGTGTGCGTCGGGATTATGAAATAAAGCTGGAACAATATGCCCACTTGCTTGATGTCAGGGCAGCTCGTATACGCAAACTTGAAGGTATAATTTGCTTTAACCACTTCAAGACCAGGTGTTTAGACCCCCTTCCTGGCCAGGACCATTTTTCAGTATTCAGCGCTGCTGTACTTTGATTGACGATTATTCCATCATGCAACGCTGTACTGAAATTAATTGTATACCCTTTTTTGGGGACAGATAGAGCTTTCTTTTGGTGGTATTTAATCTTAATTTATTTTTTACTATATGAAGGAAAAATTATTGAAAATTTTGGGGGAAAAAAGTTTTTTTTTCATTATTTTAGGAAACAATGATTATTACCCATATTTTTGGTAAATTATAAAAGACGGGGTCACGTCGGGTAAATAGACACCAAACATGTCATGCTTTAAAATTGCGCGCACCCGCAAAATCGCAAAAAAACTACCATACCCAAAAGTGACCATAGGACGACGCTTTAAAAGCTTTTACCGCTCATCAGTTTAGTGTTATCAGTGATTGATGGCCCTAGAACTATTGCTCTCATTCCGACGTTCGCGACGATATGTAACGTGCGGTGTAATGGACGAAATCGTCATTTTCGCACGTATGCGCACCCGACGCCTGTTTGCATGTGTGTATGTATGGGGGGGACTTTAAAAACAAATAAAAATTGTAATTCTTTTTTATTTGTAACTTTACATTTTTGGGGGGGAAACTTAATTTTTTTTTACCAATTTTTATTTTAACTTAACGTTATTGCTATCACATAGGGGGCTAAGAAAACCCCCTTATGTGATAGCAAAATATGTGACAGGTCCTCTTTATGGAGACATCACGGGTCTCCAAGACCCCTAATGTCACCTAGGACCCCCCTGAAGAAGCTGATGAAGCAGAGATCTGCTTCATCAGCTTCTCTCCAGCATCTGAAGCTGGAGAGTGACACAAGAATGCGGAAGTGATATATTATACATCACTTCCGCATTCTGACAGCTGAGAGGGGACCGGAGGGAGGTCGTGTACCGACCTCCCTCTGATCCTCTGTGACAGAGGCAGTATGCTGGCCCCAGGATCGCACCCGGGACCAGCTTGACAGCGGGAGGGGGGAGCCGCGGAGGGGGGCGCACATCCCGGGACCTCATACAAGTGATGTATCACTTGTATATTAATGGGCATCGCTGCCTGTTTTAAAATATTGGTATTTCCCGCTTGCGTGCGCCCAGCAGCGTGCGTGAGGGGGCGTGGCTGAGCGGATATCTAAAGACGCCCGCTCAGATCTAGAGAGCCTATTTTTACATCCATGCACACATTAAACATAGCATACATAGAGGTTACCATAGGTGAAAATACATTTCAGAGTGACCCAGAGATAGAAGCAGTGATTTTATATAGAAATCTGCACTTTTCTTGTAAAACTGTGGCCCCCACCACTCCCACCTCCAAATCCTCCCTGTTGATCCTTTTAATGAGGTTTATAGGTGGGCTCGCCGAGGCTTAAGTGATGGGAAGGGTGACTTTACATTAATCTCTGATGATAGAAGTAGAGATAAGAAGCTTTGGTTTATTATTATACTTAATCATAGCTGTAGGGTATTCCCTATCATGAACAAACTATTGGATAGGTAGGTTTGACTGTTCCTTTAAATTAAACAGATTTCCTGGCATATGGTCACCTTAACCTGTAGGACCAACATGTGTGTAATGCATATTTATATTCAACAGTTAATTCATTTTTGTTTCTATATTATGTTTTTCATGTGTTTTTTGTATTGAAGCCCAGTTAAAAGACATTGCATATGGCACAAAGCAGTTCAGATTCACACCAGAAATAACTAAAGAAGATGATGTGGAAGAATTTGATGAAGCTGTACATCTGGAGAGGGGCTACAATCTTCTTGAGATCCACATATCCAAAGCAGTGTTCTCTCCAGTTGTAGCCAATATCTTTGGAGACCAGGAGCCTGCCACTTTCTGCACGTATGCTTTCTATGACTTTGAGCTCCAAACTACACCCATTGTGCGTGGCTTACAACCGTCATATGAGTTCACCTCTCAGTATCTAGTACAGATGGATGACTTTTTCCTACAGTATATACAAAAGAGCACTGCAAGGCTGGAGGTTCATTTGGCAATAGGCACAGATTTTAAAACAATAGCTGTGTGTCAGCTAAGGTTCCAGGACATTCTTGAAAAGAATGGTGAAATCTTTTCTAGTTCTACATTGATTGGTGAGTAACAAATAAGACCAATTACTGTGGATACTGTAGAAATGTGGTGTTCTTTGGAAAATCAAATCTTGCTTTTTATTTTAGGGATTGACAATTACATTAGTAATTATGGCACAGTTGAGTATTGGGTCAGGCTTAAAGTTCCTATGGAGCAAGCTATTCGACTATACAAAGAACGAGCGAAAGCTTTGGGTTACATTTCCTCAAACCAAAGGGATCCATTTCAGAGCTATCAGGTAATCAATCTCTCCATATAAACCAATGCTACTGATAAAGAATTTAGAATATGATTAATTGCAAGAAAATAACTTGCTGCTAAAGTTATTTTAAACTTCCCCATGAACCTCTGCTCACCAGCTTTAATTTTACATGCTTCCATATGCACCTCTAACTGTGTATGAATGGATGAAGTGTTTAGGAATGTGAATGAAAGTGCATTTAATGGTAAATATTTAAAGGTCAAACAGTTATAGATAGCTTAGAGGACAATGGAAGGATAAAGTGCATTGAAATAAATGAAAATATTTCACAAATGGGCAGTGGGATACTGTAACTGCTTGAGAATTCTTTATTTTTCTTTCTTGATTTTTATTCTATTTAGAAATGTATCAGTGTAGTTTGCATTCCATGAACAAGGAAGAACACATTGACATTGTGTCACAATCCTCTTAATGTGTTCATAATAAAAGTAATTCACTCAGAATAAAATCATGGTACAGCATACGTCAAGGCAGAATGTCATGTATAGAGGTCATCGGCTTCAAAGCACAGCAGAGAAGTAATTCTGGGCTTGGGGTCTGAACATATGCCATCTGGGACCAGGAGCTGGAGCACTCACACCTCTCTCCAGCAGCAGGTAAGAAATTCAGGACCCTGCACTGGAACACACACCCTCTGAGCACACACTAGTCTTTCCAGCAGCATGCCACTTTCCACTCACACTGTATCATGAGTCTATCTCTCATCATACATTGAAGGACACTTGTTGCTGAGACATATTTTGGGAAACTTTGCCCTTTCTCAGCCTGACAACAATGCAGACTAAGCAGCATTTACCCAACTAGTAGTGATTTCTCATTGGTGGTTACAGTTTATTAATCAAGCAGCAATCTTAGAACCCCTTTGAATCTCAAATTTGTAAAAGAGGATACGTTATGATATTCACAATAAAATAAAATGCAAGGGAATTGTATAGATAAAACTATGGCTTCTCAAAGGTCGTATGACAGTATTATAATTTCTTACCAATAAAAAAAAGGGTTCTAAGATTGCTGGCTAATTGATATACTATAACCACCAATCAGGAATCTCCACTGTTTATGTAAATGTGGCTTACTCCATATTGTCAGGCTCAGGCTTTCCTGAAATGCAACAGGTGTCCTCCAATGTATGGTGGGAGGTGCAGTCACAATACAGAGTTGGTGGAAGACAGCATGCTGCTGCAGAAAGGAATGTGTATTCCAGCTTCAGGTCCCAGTTGGCATGCCTAGTCCAGGATTCCTTACTTGCTGTGGGAGAGGTGTAGCACTCCAGCCTCAGTTTCCAGAGGGCTTGTGCCAGGTCCAGGGTTCCAGTGACATTCTGCCTTGATGCAGGCTGTTCAAGGATTGTGAGTGAATTACTTTAATTAGTGGTACATTAAAAAGTTTGCTGCACCATGCTGGTGAGCTCCTTCTTGTTACTTTATGTGTTATAGTTCTAAGAATGCTCCTCTCTCTGCATTCCGAAGAGCTGCGATATTGGACTAGCAGAATAATTCTTTTTTTTTAATGGGCATTAAATACCTTTTTATGTGGTTGATTTCTGATTATGGTGGTTTCCCTGGCAAACAAGGGATTGTATCAGACCGGCCTATAGTTCCCAGGTTGGCACCTAGCCCCCTTTTTGAATATTGGGACTACCGTTATACACTGAAATCTTACTATGTACACTGAAACACTGTTTATACAATATGTATGGGTATAATTTTTTTATTTTATTAATTTCTGTAGTTCGCATTTGCATATTTGTAAAGCTGATATGCTAGAAATAGGCTAAAAGCATGGTGCCTCCTATTGCATTGATTCTGTTTGTCTTGCTCTGCATATTTGCTATGGTTGCTGATAACCTGTCGACCTAATGATACATGTTACGGAAAGGAAAAACGGGAATAAAATGCCCAATATGCAGGTTAGGGTGTCCTGTCTGCAAATATCTACCTTGAAAACATAGGAGGTGCATATACAGTCATGTGAAAAAGCTTGTACTCTTTCAACAAATGTGAACAGGCAAACCTTTGATCTTTATTCAAACAGTGCCTACAGATAAAGTCAATATACTTGATTAGGAATACTAGAAAATGTTCATTTTCTATAATTTATTCAACAAAAATATTGATAGATGTCATGGTGTACTGTGGAGAAAATAAGTACACCCTTGGCCTCAAAAGCTGGTTTCCCCCTTAGTAAAAATTATGTCTTGTAGGTATTTTGCATAACTGCACACTAGTCCCGGACACTGACTCGGTGACATTTTTGAACACTCCTCCATGCAAAATTCTTTCAGTGGCAAGATGCTTGTGGGTTTCCTTGCATTCCTCCCATAGCATTTCAATTGGATTCAAATCAGGGCTTTGAAAAAGCCAGTCCCTAACCCTCCATTTCTTCTTTTCGAGCTATTCCTTGGTGAATTTGCTAGTGTGCTGTGGATTGTTACCGTGTTAAAATTAATAAAACTATTTCTGATACAACTGCATAACAAACCAATGTTTACTTTTTGTATATGATGTAATTAAACTATTAAATATTGTTTTTTCTTTATATTTACATGTTTCATTTTAATGTTGCCACTTGTCATAATTTGAAATGGTTTATGTTTTAATAATGATTTGCAGTCTTTGTTTCAGAGCAAAATTGTTAATAGTTTACATTGCCATTAAAATTTTGTTTTTGTTTTTTTTTGTTATTTTTAGCCAGTAGGTGTTGGTAAAGGCAAAAACATTGGCTTAACAGAAGATAACCTGATTGAACTGTTCATAACCATAAATAGCTGCAACAATTTAAAGTCTGGAACTAGTACAAGTCAGCCCAGTCCTTATGTGGCCTACACCTTTTTTCATTTTCCCGATCACTATACCAACACTATTACAAACAGCAATAATCCACAATTTGACGACCTCAAGTGCTTTCCATTATCCATGAATGCTGATGTGGACAGATACCTGAAATCTCAGTCTCTTGTTCTGTATGTTTTTGATGACAGAGAAATGAGCAATGCTTACACTGGAAAAGCTATGGTGCCTCTAATCCCCCTTGCTCATGATAAATGCATTTCAGGTTTGTTTGCAACTGTGAATAACAGAAATGTAATTTTGTGTCATTTTTGTGTTTTAAGGTTAAGTGTGATTTTGATTGAAACCTTTATGCAAAAGAGCTACCATTGATGGTAATCACATTTGGATGTAAAATAACCATGTATATACCAATTTCAAAATATTTTAAGTTTTGAATTAAAGTAGTATTGAAGTCTGGGCATTTTTCACCCTAACGCAATCTGTGCATTAGGGTAAAAACTGCCCCGTATCTTTTTCTCTCCCCTGTCCCCCCCATACTTACCTGTGTCACTGCTGTCACCGTCGTCGGTCCAGAAGCGATCTTCCATTCCCCGAACTTCCTGGTTGTGGGGAGAGGATACTGACTCCTTCTGCCATCAATCAAAATATTGGGTGGAGAGGAGGGTTATGGCCTGCCGCAGGCCTGTGTGTGTCTGTGTATGCATACAGCTACTGCAGGCACGGCCGGGAACACGCACGCACGGGTGTCTCCCCAGCAGCCCCTTAGCTAATGGAGGAACCCTTGCAGTAGGCGGTAGGCAAAGTGGTGTGGGGACCCACTAGAAAATGAGGAACAAAAAACTTTAAAAGAAGAACAGCATTTTTTTTTACAAAGGTGGTCCTCCTAGTTGTAACCATTACAAAAAACCTTTAATATCACTTTAAGCGTGCTATATATTGTTCTGGATTCCATCCATCTTATGTTAAAGAATGCGTAACTGTACCATATGGCAATTATTTTTCTGTGAACTGTGAAGTCCAAAAGCCTATTATACAAATGATTTTTCATACGAAAAAGAAAAAAAAATATGCAACTATGCCAGATATTGAATTGTTTCTTCCAGAAGTGGGTATCTCTTGGTCCTGAAAATTGACTACAGCCAGTACATGTTTTGATATTTGGCAGAGCAGGTATACAATTTCTGCAGATAATTTGCATGTGTCCACTTCAACAGCAGATCCCCGTGGTTTTTTTTTGTGGGGTTCCCCCTAAATCTCCACACCCAGGGCTCTGGTACGGATTTTAACCACTTGCCGCCCGCCCGTTGTAAAAAAACGGACTGCACTGCAGCATTTTTTTCTGCTCGCGCGCGCACGGGCAGAAAAGTCCCGACCAATGCAAACACCCTTTACCAGGTGTTTCACATATAGACGATTGGCGGCTCCATAGCCCGCCGATCGTCTATATGTGCTTGTTTCTCTGCTATCTCTGCTTCATCAGCTTCTTTTGGGGTCCACAGGTGACATTAGGGGCCCTAGGGATCCCTAAACATCGCTGCCTGTTTTTAAAAAACGGCAATTTCCCGCTCACGCGCGCCGAGCGGCGCGCGCGAGGGGGCGTGTCTGAGCGGACGTCTAGAGACGCCCGCTCAGATCTAGAGAGCTCCTGGCCGGCCGTTTTTCTACTTCGGCCGGCCCGGAGGCAGTTAATATAGTAAAAAATAAAAACCCCAGTGGTGATTAAATACCACCAAAAGAAAGCTCTATCTGTCCCTAAAAAATGGTATAAAATTAATTTCAGTACAGCGTTGCATGACGGAATAAATGTCAGTCAAAGTACCGCAGCGCTGAATACTGAAAAATGGCCTGGATGGGAAGGGGGTTTAACACCGCGGATGTCAACTGGTTAAGGGGGAACTCTTTTTTTTGTAATGCATTACCAGATCCTCATCAATGATAATAGTCTGCTACTGATCCTGGGGATGCCACCTAACTTTTTGCAGGCCAGGAAATGTCATTTACCAGCAAATATCAAGACTATATATGTTTAGGCTACTGGCCCTATACCTTTGGTTCTTTGCTAACTTGATCTGTCTGTCAGCTGCCCCTCCCAAAAAGACAATCTTTGGGGCTGAAACTTGTGAGCTGCCATGCAGCCAAGTTCCAATCCTCTCCACAGAGGGTAATGGTAAAGATTTCCTACACTTTGCACCGTGGTGAAATCCACAGCTACCGGTGGCAAAATAAGATTTATGTTCTGTTACAGAATACCCTAAATACTAGTCTTTTTGAGGACATGAAGCCTTGTCCATGAGTACTAATAAAAAAAGCAAATCTTTATTTGTACATTTAATATGGACAGCAAATATCTTTCTATTTGTATGTTGTTAAAACTATTGGTCATAATTTATGACATCTATAATTCCTACTTTATTATTTGTTTGGTAAGATCTGAAACTGTATTGTAATCCTGATAGCAGGACTCTACATGCAACTATAAAACATTTATCAGTAAAGTTGTTTATTATGTTTTATGTCCTTTGATCCTTTGTCTTAAAGGAACGTTTCAGCTAACTGATTTTCAAGGCAATGAAAGAGGTACCATTAAGGTCATCTTAAAGTGGAAGACCACATATCTGCCTCCAAGTGACTCCATTTTATCAGAACCACTAATAGATGAACTACACAAAGAAATACCGGCACCTGTCCGTTCACTGAAAGATGAAGAAGTCCACATTCCAAAAAGAACTATGATAGAGGCTGTTCCTATTGTAAGTAATGTTTCTACAACTGAACAGTAAAAAATAATCTTTCACAGAGCAATTAAATATTGCAGTGAGACAAAATGTAATATTTACATACAGTGCTTCAAGCTAGGGTCATATATGGCTAACATGGAGGCTAAAAATAACACTATTTGATTATTTTTTGGAATACATGCAAACATGCCCTGTGAAATGTACAGACAATGCTTCCATTAGCTAAAAATGAATAAAATCATTTAGTAAAGTTCTGCCATCAACAGGTTTTTAAGCCTGTAGGCACACAAACTTTTGTTGCCCAAAGGATTGGTGGTAGGATCAAATTTTTACACAATTTTAGAACTTGCATTAAAAAAAAGGTTATGATAAACAAATGCTCTGCTTTTTGCTTAGTTTCTATCTGTATTAGCCAGAAAATCAAAAATCAACGTTTGTCAATGTTGAAGCATTATTGAAATTTACACCCAAATATCCCACTCCAAATGTCCCAGCCTTTTTTCTTTTGTTTTGTACCTGTAGCAAGAAAGCGCTTTTTCTTTTTTCACTCCCTGTAACGTAATCATCAAAATTTGCAGAAGCAGTTGCTATTGTCATGGTCATGCCCCCCAGGACTCCATCTCCCAAGAGCCTTTTTCTACTTACAGTGTGTGAGCAGGCTCTAGGGAGTGAATACAGCAATTAGAAATCAAATTATACATTTGTAGAGAGATAGAGGTGGGGGATGTGAGGAGTTCTGTATTTGTAGTCCAGTTGGCAAGGTTCACATTTCAGTGCAGCAGAGGCACTGTGTTGTCAGCCCAACCAGGAAGTTGGCAGCATACTGGATATTTCAGATTAACAACAATCAAGACCATCAAGAGCAAGTCATTTTTTGTACTTGGTGTTTTTAAAGGGATAACATATGGGTAAATATGTATGTGTTTCAAAGATGCACTAAATATTTTTTTTCTCATCAATTGACGGGCACAGGAAGCCATTACTGTTGGGTTATGCAGCCACCTACAGGAAGATTGGACACTGACAAACAAAATTTGACAAGCAAAATTGCACCAGCCCAGGATTACCCCTCCTAGTACCAGCATGCCTCAGTGTTTTCCTAATGTCTTTGGAGGATGGACATATTTTGTTTAACTCTGGTGGGAAAAGTCTATCCATTTTTACTAGCCTTTTTTTTTTCTTTCTTCACATGTTTCTTCAATCAAGATTTCTCACTACATCACTGCACAAGCTGGTCTGTACAATGGCAGCTATCTGGATCGGCCTTAACTCTGCCTAGCTTTGGACTGGACGTGACCTTCGGACACTAGATTCCATGTTAGGCACTTTCCAGACCCCTTTCTGATAAGTTTTCTGCAGAGCACTTTTCAGAGCTGTTGGCATTGCCTCTGTGCTTGCTCTGAACCTGAAGACTTGTTCTGTAAATGGGTCAATCAGGCTGAGCACTGGGTCATCACAGACTAAAACTTCATACTGCTCTTGCAGATCTCTTGAGCCAGCGAGTTATTACCATTGTTCCAACAGCAGAAAGGTGTCAGGGGTTTTATTCCAACCTTTTCACTGTTCCAGAACCAAATTAGGGCATCTGCATCTTGGATCTCAAAGCTTTAAGTGCCTTAATTTGAAGGTCTGTCATAGCCTCCCTCCATCAGAGACACTTCCTAGCCTCTACATACACTATATTTCCAAAAGTATTGGGATGCATGCCTTTACACGCACATGAACTTCAACGGCATCCCTGTCTTAGTCCGTAGGGTTCAATTGAGTTGGCCCACACTTTGCAGCTCTAACCGCTTCAACTCTTCTGGGAAGGCTGTCCACAAGGTTTAGGAGTGTGTCTATGGGAATGTTTGACCATTCTTCCAGAAGCACATTTGTGAGGTCAGGTACTGATGATGGATGAGAAGGCCTGGCTTGCAGTCTCCACTCTAAGTCATCTGTTCCCACAAAGTTGAGAGCATGAAATTGTCCAAAATGCCTTGGTATGCTGTTTCCTTAAGAGTCACCTTCACTAGAACTAAGGGGCCAAGCCCAAGCCCTGAAAAACAACCCCACGCCATAATCCCCTCTCCACCATACTTTAAACTTGGCACAATGCAGTCAGGCAAGTACCGTTCTCCCGCTCAACTGCCAAACCCAGAAACTTCCATTGCATTGCAAGACTGAGAAGCATGATTCATCACTCCAGAGAACACCTCTCCACTTCTCTAGAGTCCAGTGGCGGCATGCTTTACACCACTGCATCCAACGCTTTGCATTGCACTTGGTGATGTAAGGCTTGGATGAAGCTGCTCAGCCATGGAAACCCATTCCATGAAGCTCTCTACGCACTGCTGTTTTGCCAATCTGAAGGCCACACAAAGTTTGGAGGTCTGTAGCTATTGACTCTGCAGACAGTTGTCGACTTCTGTGCGCTTCAGCATGCACTGACCCCGCTCTGTCATTTTATGTGGCCTACCACATCATGGCTGTGTTGTTGTTGTTCCCAGTTGCTTCCACTTTGTTATAATACCACTAACAGTTGACCATGGAATATTTAGTAGCACGGAAATTTCACAGATGAACCTATTGCACAGGTGGCAACCTATTGCGGTACCACGCTTGAATTCACTGAGCTCCTGAGAGCGACCCATTCTTTCACAAATGTTTGTAGAAGCAGTCTGCATGCCTAGGTGCTTGATTGTATACACCTGTGGACATGCAAGTGATGGGAACACCTGAATTCAATGATTTGGAAGGGTTTCCCAATACTTTTGGCAATATAGTGTACTTGCATGTTCCCATCTTTTCAGCACATGAACCCTATGTCAGTTTTGCTGTAAGCACACAACACTATCGATTTGTTCTGTCTTCCACACTTTGAATGCTCACCAAGGTACTAACCCCCCATGCTAGCCTTACTTTTCTCCCAGGTCATTCCTATTGTGGAATATCTGAACAACTTTCTGTTATGGAAAAAGTCGCATCAGGTTCTGACTGACAATATGATCCAGACAGTTTAGACCTTAATGTGTATGTTACCCCAAATATGAAGTTTAAATATATGTGTTGGGTTATTTATGTATGTCTTGGTAACTGTAGTCTGTAATTTATTTTATGTTGTTTAATGATGATAAACACCTGGTGATCCTCGGCTTTTGTGCCAAACTGACCACGCCAAGCACAGAAGTGGGATCTGTGCTGTTGTGGCCAGTCTGCGTCCATGTGACTGCTGCTGGGAGATACAGGAAATTGTGCCAACACACAGCATGCTTGTATCTTCTGTAGTCAGTTTTGCAGCAACGTCCACTACTAAGCCCTGCCTAAATAACTAACAGTGAGGCTCCAGCTGGGAGCCGCTGTCCATCAACATTGGTAGGACAGGACTGAGGGCATGGCTACAAAACTGACGCACTGTGTGAAGATGAAGCTGTGCATGCTTCTGAAATGCAGCGTACATAGCAATCAAAGCACCACCTTCCGCCTTGCTTTTTTTAAATGTTTTAAAAATGTTATTTTCACTTGGAAGAGCAGAGCACACGTGGATACAATTAAAAGAAAGCTGCACATCCAGCTCTTTTTTTTCAGCTTTGCTACTACCCAGCTGTGTGTAACATCAACATACTGCCTGCTCCCTTAGTTTTCAGACACATACCCCTTCATGGGGAAAGGGATCATAAGGGAGGCTGTGCGGTCATCTGACTCCGGAATAAAGCATTACATTTTTTAGAAAACTAAATGAGATCAAAGTTACATCATAGTATTTGCTGTATTACAATTGGCTGCTATAGTACTGTGTTCACAACTACTTTAAAAAGGTTTGGTTGGATCCTTAGCTTTCAGAAATCAGCTCTGAAGCCAACACTTCGCTTATAGCACGTGTGTCAAACACAAGGCCCGAGGGAACATGGAGAAAAGAGCAGCAAAGAATTTGGAGGATTTGAAAACAAAAATTGGGGAAAAGCATGGACAATCTCAAGGTTACAAGTCCATCTCCAGATATCTTAATGTTCCTGTGTCCACTGTGCACAATGGCACTGTAGCTAATCTCCCTGGATGTGGACGAAAGAGAACAATTGATCAAAGATTGCAAGGAAGGATTGTTCGAATGGTGGATAAAGACCCTTGATCAACTTCCAGACACATTCAAGCTGACCTTCAGGCACAGAGTACAACTGTGTCAGCTTGCACTATACGTCACCATTTGAATAAAAAGGGACACTATGGTAGGAGACCCAGGAGGACCCCACTGCTGACACAGAAACATAAAAAGCCAGATTGGAGTTTGCCAAAAATTACCAGAGGAAGCCAAAATTCTTTTGGGAGAATGTGCTGTAGACAGATGAGAAAAAATGATGTCACAATTTTTTTCCTCCTGCCCTCCTATGCTGCTTTAAGGACTTACCTTTAAATTATGCTTCTTGATCCGATCATCTTCTTCCTTCCACTTGTAATCAGCAATTCCTCCAGCACTGGTGCCGGTCTCTCATCTAGCGTAGACTCCTGTCTCTTCCTGTCCCATGGTGTCTGTCCGACGTGCACGCTCCCGGCTGCGTGCATTCAGTTCATTGTGTCTCTCCTCTTCTCCCCTCTGAAGACCTCTACTATGCATGCACCCGCCCCATTTCGAGCGGCCTTGTATGATGACGCTTTAAATCTTCAGACGGTAGCAAGCGGCAGAGACAAAGGTACGTTTTTACCTTTTTGGTAACTTTTTTATTTTTTTAAATGTTTTTGTATATATCTACTGCTTGCTGGCAGTAGATATACACAAAAAATTAGTTTAATTTTACTTTAAGCACTCAGTAACTTGCTTCTGCAGTGCAAAAAACTTCGGTGTTGAAACAGTTAGTATTTACAAATCATACTCATGAAATACTTGGTCAAAGAAGCTTGTCACATCTGTCCCACACATTTTGCTGACTGTAACAACTCTCACTTCCAAAATATTTCTAAGCCAACACATTTTTAGGTGGCAACTGCAGTCGCACACAGAATAGAACAGTCTGATGAAGAACATCACTTATACTTAAAAGCCACTTGCATTTTATTATATTTCTTTGTGGTAGAAGTCAGCCACCAGATGCTAATTGTATTCAGGATGATCACATATGTGTTTATTTTTTTATTTTAAGTTTTTACATTTTAGCATCTTGCTGAGAACAAACTTGCCTGTAGTGCACAGTATCACATATAAACTAGATCTGATAGTACATGATACAAATAAATAAATCTTCAATTTGGCATCAATAGTCTGAAAACATAAACTGCTAAAATTCCTAGCAGAATACATAATCACTTAAATTAAAAAAAAGCAGTCTTATGCTGGTCATATACATGGCACATTTCCAGAAATGTTGAGTATCTTTGTATCTTTTAATTAGAAAAACAATCAAACAGATCAAGGCAACGTGTGTGTGTGTGTGTGTGTGTGTGTGTGTATATTTTTTTAATTTTTTTTGCCAAAAGTATGGGGACGCCTGCCTTTACATGCACATGGACTTTAATGGCATCCCCGTCTTAGTCCATAGGGTTCAATATTGAGATGGCCCACCCCCTGCCGCTATAACAGCTTCAACTCTTCTTTGAAGGCTGTAGACAAAGTTTAGGAGTGTGTCTATGGGAATGTTTGACCATTCTTTCAGAAGTGCATTTGTGAGATCGGGTACTGATGTTGGACAAGAAGGCCTGGCTCGCAGTCTCCGCTCTAATTCATTCCAAAGGTGTTCTATAGGGTTGAGGTCAGGACTCGCAGGCCAGTCAAGTTCCTCTACCCCAAACTCACTCATCCATGTCTTTATGGACCTTGCTTTGTGCACTGGTGCGCAGTCATGTTGGAACAGAAAGGGGCCATTCCCAAACTGTTCCCACAATGTTGGGAGCATTACATGGTCCAAAATGTCTTTAGTATGCTGATGCCTTAAGAGTTCCCTTCACTGGAACTAAGGGACCAAGCCTAACCCCTGAAAAACAACCCCTCGTCATAATCCCCCCTACACACTCTTGTTGTGCCAATCTGAAGGCCACACGATGTTTGGAGGTCTGTAGCTATTGACTCTACAGACAGTTGGCGACTTCTGCACACTGTGCACTTCAGTATGCGCTGACCCCGCTCTGTCATTTTCCGTGGCCTATCACTTCATGGCTGAGTTGCTGTTGTTCCCAGTTTCTTCCACTTTGTTATAATACCACTAACAGTTGAACGTGAAATATTTAATAGCAAGGAAATGTCACGGGACACCTGAATCCAATGATTTGGAGGGGTGTCCCAATACTTTTGGCTATATATATATAATATAATATAATATATAATCTATATATATATAATGCTGTGAAGTAAGAATGCACTCAGAAATAAAAGTTTATTTGTATCTATTAACAAAATAGAAAGTAAATGAAGAAAAATCCAAATCAAATCAATATTTGGTCTGACCCCCTTTGCCTTCAAAACAGTATCAATTCTTCTAGATACACTTGCACACAGTTTTTGAAGGAACTAGGTAGGTTTTTCTAAACATCTTGGAGAACTAACCACAGATCTTCTGTGGATGTATAAATAGAAGTAGTCACTCGCACTCCAAAATAAATAAAGTAATAGACAGCCTGAGGAAGGGGCCACATGGTCCCGCAACTTTGCTTACGAGATGTGTATCATCACATTTAACCCCTTCATGACTGAGGCCCTTTTTTAATTTTTTGCACCCATGTTATATACAGGGGGGGGCGGCCCCTTCTTCGGGACGCAGAAGCGATCTGGCGACAGGTAAGTCGCCAGGATCGCTTCTGTTGTAAAGCCGACAGTCGGCTCTACAAGTTTAAAAAGACTCCCGGCGGCAAAAGTCGCCGGGAGTCTGTTTAAACAGCCCCGATGCTGGCGACGTACACTGTACGTCGTCAGTCACGAAGGGGTTAATAAACATTATTGACTTTATTTACTTTTGTAGTGCGGGTGACAACTTCTATTTATCCATACTTTGCGGAGGCATCCGTTGTCGCTGCTGCACCCACCCTGTTGCAATGGGCATTTTCGGGGCATCGAGTGCGATGGCACATGAGGATTAATTATCTTCTGTGGATGTAGGCTACCTCAAATCCTTCAGTCTCTTCATGTAATCCCAGACAGACTTGTTGATGTTGAGATCAGGGCTCTGTGGGGGCCAAACCATCACTTCCAGGACTCCTTGTTCTTCTTTATGCTATAGATAGTTTTTAATGACATTGGCTTTATGTTTGGGGTTGTTGTCCTGCTGCAGAATACATTTGGGGCCAATCACACGCCTTCCTGATGGCATGGCATGATGGATAAGCATCTGCTTGTATTTCTCAGCATTGAGGACACCATTGATCCGGAACAACAATCCAACTCCATTGGCAGAAATGCAGCCCCCAACTTGCAAGGAATCTGTTGCTGCAGACACTAATTATTGTACTGCTCTCCAGCCCTCTAGCAAACAAACTGCCTACTGCTACACCCAAATATTTCATATTTTGATGCATCAGTTCCAGAGCACCTGCTGCCATTTTTCAGAACCCCAGTTCCTATGTTTTCATGCATACTTGAGTCGATTAGCCTTGTTTCCACGTCGGAAATATGGCTTTTTGGCCGGCAGAAAAATATGAGATGTGTCTGTGTTTGAGGCATGATACAGAGGGAAGAAGGACCAATTAAAGTGCTTAGGGTGGTACCCACTGAACAAGAATCCCCCATGGGAAGATAAAAGTAACACTTAAGCTGATTATACAGGGATCAAATTTCAGCCATTTCCTGCCAAAAAAAACAGCTGAAACCCCCTAAGACAGTATTTATTAGCTTTTATATACTCTGCTTTTCAAAATTAGGATACAGCTTTAACATCATTGGCTAATAGTGACTAATTACTTCATAGTTATACGGTTATGAGGTAGCATTACACCGGGGTCCAGGTACATCAAATTAATTCTGCAAGATAATGCTGGTAGGGTGATGGTCCATCTGGTGGCTCTTAACATCTGGCGATATCCTTTAATACTTTTGTATTTCTTAGATTTGCCCATACTTGTCTTTACATTAAAATAATGTCAGTCCAAAAATGGCTCAGGCTGCTACAAAATGGTATGTGATAGGGTGGTTCAGCAATGGTCACTTGTAATTTCCCTGCATTGCTAAAGGAGCCAGGTGGGAAATTATTGGCCAAGCAGTACCTGGTGCCAATCAGCTGCAGTCACTGTTTTGCCTTCTGACAGCCGTGGGTACCGGCTGTCAAAATACAATATCTGGCAAGGTAGATTCCTCCATCAACACTTTTTAGTATGGATGGGGGGAATCGAGTGATTTCTTAAATCTTAAGGTGTATGGACAGCATTATTTTTAATAATACATAAAAAGGGAATGCTATTGCATGCAATTTTTTTTTCTTTTGTGAAAATGCATTTTGTAACCTCCTAAATGGCACGTATTGTCTCCACTTGATTTGGTTTTTATTACAGTAATGCATATGAAATATGACTAAATAAAAATAAACTCAGTTCCATATATTTTTCAGACACCTATGCCGAAGCCAAGAGTACGAAAATCCACAGCAGACAAAAGAGTCTCCTTTATTGATGCCAATACAGAAAGTTTAGTAAGTACTGCACATTTATATATTTGTAAATGTATTTTCTCTCTGTGTTTACAAAGGTTTGTACGAGGCGCTCTAGTTTCAGCCAACAATTCAAACTCATGTTGGTTTCTTAAATGGATACCTCCAAAAGTGGCCCTTATTTGAATATATTTATGGGAGAAACATTGTGTGAATGAATCGATGTGTTCTGTAAACATCTACATATTGAAGAAGTTGTCACTATATAAATTCCCAAATAAATACTTTATGTGGCTATTGTCATTTACATCCATGTGTTTTTCTGTGTAATGAAGTGGAATAAAACGAACTACTCTTCCTACATTTACAGGCAATGTACATTATACGATTTAATTATCCTTTTCTAGAAACAGGGAATGTAAGTCCTTAACACTTCTTGGCTTAAACATGCTTTATACTTTAATTGATGCGTAGACATTAGTAAGTAATCTTACCTAGTCTATCAGATTAAGTTAACGTGGATTTAACATTAACTCCCGCACTTCAAATGAATAAATAAAGCACGCATCTGCATTACCAAATCTCTTCAATATTTTGAATGAACAAAGCATATCTTTATTGCCATAAATAAAAAGCTTTCAAAGTACCCTGTGTGACCTCAATCCTAGGCAGCAGCACTGAAGGCCCAGCCTGGTAGAATTGGAGTGAAATAAGAGGATCAGGTACGACCAAGCAGGCATTCTACATATGTTATGAGCAAATAGTGCCAGGCTCATGTAAAGACATTGGGGGAATTTATCAAAACTCGAGCAGACAAAATATGGAGCAGCTGTGCATGTCAACCAAATGAGCTTCTCTCTTTCATTTTCAAATCTTAACTGAACAAACTTGAGAGAAGCTAAAAGGGTTCCATAGGTGGTTGCTCCAGTTTTGATAAATTCCTACCATTGTTGTTTACTAAACATTACGCTTGTATACCTTTTGAGCCAGATTACTGAGATGTTAAAACATATACACAAGTGATTGCTCACTGGGAAG